AACACTAGCAGATCAAAGTTAGTGGCAAAATTTTTAAAATCAGTATTAGACTATGCCAAAAATCCTAAAAGGAAAAATTACTAATTAACATACTATATTAATAAAAAGAGAAGAATCATATAATCATCATTATAGATACAGAGAAAAAAAGCATTTAATATATTCAGCTCTCAAGTATGGTTTTAAAAAAACCTTTTAGCAAACTAGGAATAGAAGGGAATTTAATATCTTAAAGGGCATCTAGAATTCTGCAGCAAACATCACACTGAATGGCGAAATGTTAGAAAATTTCCCATTGCTATCATGAAAAGACAGGAATGCCTTCTAATATGATGTCTGATAAATATGTACTGGAGGTCCTAGCCAATGCCTTAAAAAAAGAAAATGAAACACAAGAATTAGAAAGGAAAACACAAAATTGTCTTTATTTATAGATGTCATGATTGCTGGCAAAAAAGAATCCACAAACTAATAGAACCAATAAGAATTCAGTCAAGTTACTGAAAGTAGTTTTTTTTTTTTTTTTTTGGAGACAGAGTCTTGCCCTGTTGCCCAGGCTGGAGTGCAATGGCATGACCTCAGCTCACTGCAACCTCTGCCTCCTGGGTTCAAGCGATTCTCCTGCCTCAGCTTCCCAAGTAGCTGGGATTACAGGCATGCGCCACCACAGCCGGCTAATTTTTTGTATCTTTTCACCATGTTGGCCAGGCTGGTCTCAAACTCCTGACCTCGTGATCTGCCCGCTGCGGCCTCCCAAAGTGCTGGGATTACAGGTGTGAGCCACCACGCCTGGCCCTGAATTCAGTTTTTATAAAATCATTGGCATTCTTAATTTCACTATATAACTTAAATATAACTTAAAACACACACACACACAATTCATAATAGCAATAGAAACTAAAAGGTACCTGGAAATAATCCTAACAAAAATTGGTGGTGATTACACTGGTGTTCATTTTAGAATTCTCTATATTTTTCTGTGATGGATATTTTTCATAAGAAATGAAATGCTTTGATTCTACCAAATGCAATTAACTATATTACCATATAACAATAACAAAATAAAATCTCCTTTTGTCTCTATCCTAATGCCTTGTTCTGTAACAGGCTCTGCTGCTCCCTAGCTCTGTGACTTTAAGCAAGTTATTCAAGCCCTCTGAGCCTTCATTTCCTCATGTATTAACTGAAGATAATACCTTCTTTGCAGTGTTGTTGACAAGTTAAAAGAGCTTACTTAGCGCGGTGCATATGGAAGTAGTCAATGCTTGTCTATTTGATTCATTCATCTAACACATATCCATTGAGTCTCTGTTGTGTGCCTGGCACTGTCGTGGTCACTAGGTATAAAGCATTGGTCAAGACAGAAAAATCCCTGCAAGATGGAGCTTACAATCTAGTGGAGGAGGCATGCAATAATAATTAAGTTAAATACAGGATATAGTATTTAACTTAGATGGTGAGAAATGCTAAGGAGATAAATAAAGCGGGATGTTCGCTATAACTGCCTCTCCCCTCTTGTTTTTGATGTCTGTCTCTCTCATCAGTCTTTCTGTATTTCCTTTTCATTTTTCCTGTCTTCATCGATTTGCACTATCCTCATTGCTGTGACACCCTGGCACTGAACTGTTTACTGCCCAATAATCTTAATGATTAATTTCTGCTTACTAAGAAGACTTAGCTTCTGTGGAGTCTGAGACTGAGCTTTATGGCTCCTTTGTAGTCAGAGCGCTTAGCACAATGGTTAGCAAGTAGCAGTAGCTCTACAAACTCTTGTTGTTTCAAGGATTAAAATTTACAATGGAAAATTAACAGACTAACCGGTAACTGATCAGAGGCATTAATGAAGACAGCTTGAAGCCCCATGTCAAATCCGCACTTTCCCTAAAGTACCGGCTTCCAAGTTCAGCTCTGATGTTTTCTAAGAGTAATCTTAGGCAAGTTTCTTCACCTCATCAGATCTTTGTCTCCTTGTCTTATAAAACAGGAGGATGGAATAAAATGAAAATATTTGTTCATCCTAAAACGACTAGCTTGGATTTTTATCATCTAAGCTTTCCATGTTAATTCATTATTTCATAGTACATTTCTCTCTTTCTATCCATGTTGACTTCAGATCAACATCCCAGCAAATAATTTCTTCATTTTGGAGACCCTTTCCTTATTTGATGCTATCTTTTGACTTCTTTGACTCTATGAACACAACAGTCGTGTCATGGGATCTTAGAACATAGTAGCAAAAGGGACCTTAGCGATAATAACAATAGTTACCAATTATTAAGCATCTAATAGATACTTTCCCTCATTTTAGTACTTCTATAATGTACATTTTACTGTCCTTTTAGAGAGCTGTAGTGCATAATGATTGAAGAGCAACTTCAGAGTCAAGACAGTCCGGGGTTCAAGTCTTGGTTCTGCCACTTAATGACTGTGTGACATTAGACAGCTACTTTAACTCCCTAAGCCTCACTTTCCTCCTTTGTAAAAGGAAAGTGTAACTTACCTCACATGGTTGTGATGAGGATTCAATGCCAAAATAAATCTCCGGTGGTTTACACAGTGGCTGCCACAGAGTCAGCAGTCAATAAATGTCGGATTTTGTTTTCAGTATTTATAAGCATTAGGGAGGGTAAAGGAACTCATCTAAAGTCTCAGATACTAAGTGGCAGAGCTAGGATCTCAACCTGGGCAGTTTAATCCACAGCCCGTATAATTACCCACACGGTGCTGTTCCTCCTCAGTGGCTCACAGGATCCCATTTCAGGGAAACTGATGGAAAGTTTAGTTTTAGAGACTGCATCTCACAATGACTGAGCAGAACCTGGACTTTGCTGAATTCCAAATGGGGTTGAAAAACCGACATAGTACTGGAGATGGAAGAAGGATGTGAAGGAGGTGCAGGACAGTGGACCTTGGCCTTGAGCTCTGTGGGAACAAGGACAGGAGTTTGTGGCAGGTTCTAGAGACAGAGGGTCATGTTCATGACCGCTGGGCATCTAGTGGCCTTACAGTTAAGCCAGGGATTTTCCTCTCTAGCCTTTCTAGACCAAAAGAATTAACTGATCCGAGATGAAGGGTGTGGATGTATACAGAAGCCAGGTGCAGTTAAGGAGAAAATAAATAAATTTCACCAAGGAGTGCTCCAAAAGCCCCCAACTAGCCTCCACCACCTTATTTCTGAGACTTGGAGAGACCTAGTTCCCAACTCAAGTGGCCCCTCTAGGGGCCAAGTCACTTATGCCATCTCGGCCTTATTTTCCCATCTGTGCTATGAACATATTGAACTAAATGACTTACAGGGGAATGGGAACAGATTATGGAGCCAGACCAAACTGAGGCAAATCCCTACTTGATCACTAATGAAGAGACTCATTTCCTCATTGGTAAGGGAGGATAATACCACCTACCTTACAGTTTGTTGTAAGAAAGAAACATACGTTCAGTGCTTAGCAGAGTTTTTGGGACAGAGTAAACGCTCAATAAACAGTAGATATGATGATGATAATAATGGTGGTGGTAATGATCATGACGAAGATAGAATGACAAAAAAAATAATGCCAGAGTGTCTCATAAAGTCTCTAAAAGGCCGGGCGCGGTGGCTCAAGCCTGTAATCCCAGCACTTTGGGAGGCCGAGGTAGGTGGATCACCTGAGGTCAGGAGTTTTAGACCAGCCTGGCCAACATGGCGAAACCCACCTCTACTAAAAATACAAAACTTAGCCAGGTGTGGTGGTCCGTGCCTATCATCACAGCTACTAGGGAGGCTGAGGCAGGAAAATTGCTTGAACCCGGGAGGCAGAGGCTGCAGTGAGTCAAGATAGTGCCAATGCACTCCAGCCCAGGCAAGGGAGTGAAACTCCGTCTCAAAAAAAAAAAAAAAAAAAAGTCTCTAAAAAAGCAAACTAGAAGGAAATGGGAAAAAAACAAGCAGTATACTGGTCAGCTTGGAGAGAGGTGAAAAGTTTTGGACATTTAAAGGGACTGCAGGATATCCACATGGAGATGTCCTATTGGGACCTGGAAACATGGGATGGGAGATAAAGGCTTGGCCCCTCTCTCTGACCCTGGATCCATGAGGCCTTGATTACAGTAGACATTAATTGAGCTCCTACCGTAGGTGCACCATTCCACTGTGCACGATAGCAGCATGACATGCAAAAAAAAAGCTGGTTTTGAAATAATGTATTATCTATTAATCGTGTCATCTTGCATAAGTGCTTGGCCTACAAAATAGGAATAAAAATACCCACCTTACAACATGGTTGTAGTTATTAAATTAGAGAAGATAAGACTTTGAGCACAGAGACTAGCATGTAGGAAAGTCTTTAGAAATGACTGTTCACATTCCCTTTTACAAAATAATCTACTCTAAATTGAAAAATGAAGACTGCCACCTGAAAAGACCAACTATCTTCAATGAATTACCTTTTCTAAGAACCATGTGCTAAATAAGGTCTTGAAAACATTTAGGGAAATAAGTAAATAGCTTGTTGCAGATTTAAATTTTCAAATTTGCTCCTAGAATTATGTCAGGTACATTGGTAGACAGCAATAGAAGGCAAAGTCCCCACCACGGGCATACTTAAAGTCCAGTTGGGGGAATAATACGCTGATGGAAGAGATAAAAGTGAGAAACGCTGTGTTAATAAATGCTGAACAGAGTGAGGGGTGCTCACATGAGGATGAGGCCAGTAGGTATGTGAGAGCTCAGAGGTGGCTCGGTGGGTGCCATTTTTGATGGTGTCATACTAATATAACTTCAACAAGGAAAAGATTCACTTGCCACAAAGTGTTAATGACACTTACCTTGCCAAGCACTAGGCTAAGCTGAGGATACAACTGAGAAATGCAACCTCTGACCATGACGAGATCATAAGTGAGTGGAAAATTAGACTCTTGAGCAGATCATTTAGAACACTGTGTAACTTGTGCAGCTGACCAGACAGAGGAGGCCTACATGAGACAGCACTACTTACTTTCTGTTTGATCCTTTTTTTCACCAGGGTCTTTTCACCTAATTCACTTAATGTTTGATGACTACGTGCTCTACCTGTTAGAATCTCTGCACTGTCAGGAGCGGGCCAATGAGCTCATGCGAGCCATGAAGGGAGAGGGAAGCACTGGTAAGCCAGCATTTTCCTGGGAATTGCACCACTTAGTAATGTTATTTGTATCCTTACTTCTGTGCTTTATGTTTCTTTAACTCTGTATCTCAAAGAATTTAGTTATGGTAAACAGGTCAAGTGGTATCAAACCAATCGTGTCTTTTTCCTCTTTAAAGTGGGCATGTGGGCTGGGCATGGTGGCTCACACCTGCAATCCCAGCACTTTGGGAGGCCAAGGTAGGCAGCTCCCTTAAGGCCAGAGTTCGAGACCAGCCTGGTCAATATGGCAAAACCCCATCTCCACTAAAAATACAAAAAATTAGCTGGGTGTGGTGGTACACACCTGTAGTCCCAGCTGCTCAGGAGGCTGAGGCACAAGAATCACTTGAACCCAGGAGGCGGAGGTTGCAGTGAGCCGAGATTGTGCCACCGCACTCCAGAGTGGGTGACAGAGCAAGACTCCATCTCAAAATAAGTACATAAATAAACAAACAAATAAAGTGGGCATGTGTATATATGCAAATTGCCTTGAGTGCCATGATGGTGATGGGAAACCACTGAAAAGTTTTAAGCAAGAGTGACATCACACAGATTAGAAGAATATTTCACTTTTTAAAGTATCTTAGAGACACTTGCCTTTACATTTGGTTCTAAAAACTTCCCCTGTGTCTATCCACAGCAGAAGTCCGAGAAGAGATCACCTTGACAGAGGCTGCAGCGCCAACCCCTTCACCAGTGCCATCGTTTTCTCCAGCAAAATCTGCCCCATCTGTGGAAGTGCCACCTCCCTCTTCCCCTGGTAGCAATCCATCCCCTGAGTATACTGGCCTCAGCACTACAGGTAATGGGAAGTCCCTCAAAAACTTTGGGGAGTGAATGTTTGAAGAAAGGGCTTTCTGCCAGCCTGGGCAACATAGTGAGACTTCATTTCCACAAAAAGCTAAAAATTAGCCAGGCATCTTGGCTCACACCTATAGTCCCAGCTACTTGGGAGGCTGAGGTAGGAGGATCGCTTGAGCCCAGCAGGTTGAAGCTGCTAAGAACCATGATCGCACCACTGCATTCTAGCTTCAGTGATAGAGTGAGACCCTGTCTAAAAAAAAGAAAAAAAGAGCTTTCTGGAAAAACATTCTTCCCCCACAATCTCCAAAAGATAATGCCAAAACCTAGGTATCTCCTGGATTTGTGAATGACGTACAGGTACTCATTTATTCATTGGTACACATTCTGTATGCTGCTGTTTTCAAGTTCGCAAATTAAGCACATGATACAATCCAAAAACTAAGCCAGAAATGATTATAATGCTATATAACAGAAATACACAAACATTCTTGAAAACAAGAAAGGGAACTCTCTGAATCAAAAACTGAGCTGCTTTCTTTTTCTCTGGAAAGGGAGGCAGACAGGAAACCTTACACTAAACTATGGCAACCACAAGCAGGCAGGGGCTGGGAATGTGAGTGAGTCTTGAGCTAAGCTAGAGTTGCTGGGCACATGGCATGAGGCTGATGCTACTGCCCACACAGTCCAAGATGTGCACAGGAGTCTCCTAAGATTAATTTACAACTAAGAATTACCCAAGCTTGGATACACTCCCAAAAGAAGGCAGAGATCCAAACAGATGTTTGTACATCAGTGTTCCTAATAGCATTCCTCACAATAGCCAAAAGGCAGAAACTACCGAAGCGTCTATTGATGGATGATGGATAAAGAAAATGTGGTGTATATATAGAAATGGAATATTACTGAACCTTGGAAAGGAATGAAATTCTGACTCATGCTACAACTCAGATGAACCTTGAAGGCAGTATGCTTAATGAAATAAGCCAGACACAGAAGGACAAATACATGATTCCATTTATATGAGGTACCTAGAAGAGTCAAAGTCACAGACACAGTGAATGGAATGGTGGATGTCAGGGGCTGGAGGGAGGGGAAATGAGGAGTTAGTGTTTAATAGGTACAGAGGTTCAGTATGCGATGATGAAAAAGCTCTGGAGATGGATGGTGGTGATGGTTGCACAACATGGTGAATATACTTAATGCCATTGAACTGTACACTTGAAAATGGTTAATATTGGGCATGTTGGCTCATACCTGTAATCCCAGCACTTTGGGAGGTTGAGGCGGCTGGATCACGAGGTCAGGAGTTTGAGACCAGCCTGACCAACATGGTGAAACCCTGTCTCTACTAAAAATACAAAAATTAGCCAGGTGTGGTGGCTGGCGCCTGTAATCCCAGCTACTCAGGAGGCTGAGGCAGGAGACTCGCTTGAACCCAGGAGGTGGAACCTGCAGTGAGCTGAGATTGCTGCAGTGAGCTGAGATCACTCCACTGCACTCCAGCCTGGTAAACAGAGCAAGACTCCATCTCAGGAAAAAAAAGGGGTTAATATGGATATATGTTACCACAATTAAAAGTCACCCAAGCATCTGTGGAAGCCCAATTCCATGAAGGAGGAACAACAAACTTAAAAACACAGAGAGTCTATATCCAAAGGAATAAAGTTAATGGGACAACCTGAAAAGTATTGTTAAGATGAGAACTAAAAATAAATCAGTCAGGCATGGTGGCTTACCCTGTAATCCCAGCACTTCGGGAGGCCAAGGTGGAAGGATGGTTTAAAGCCAAGAGTTCGAGACCAGCCTGGCCAATATACTGAGACCCCCATCTCTACATAAACTTCTTTAAAAAGTTAGCTGGGCATGGTGGTGTGCACCTGTGGTCCCAGCTACTTAGGAGGCTGAGATGGGAGGATCATTTGATCCTAAGAGTTCGAGGCTGCAGTGAGCTATGATCAGGCCACTGTACTCCAGCCTGGGCGATAGCTTGTTTAAAAAAAAAAAAAAGAAGAAGAAGAAGAAAGAAAGGAAAGAAAGAAGAAAAAAAAATCATACCCATGAGAGTCAGTATCTTCAAAAGGAAATATATAATTGTTGAAATAATAATTTCAATAGATAGGTTGAATATTAGAAAACTAGATCTAACTGAAAGGGATCAGTAAACCGAAAGACTGAGCTGAGGAATTCTCTGATAATGTGGCAAAAAGAAATACTAAGTATAAAAGTGATGTTGAGAAAAAGGACTGATAAAGTCAGAAATTGCAATATTCATTTAATAAGTGTCCAGAGAAAGAATAGAGAGAAAGTGAAGGTTATAATAGCTGACAGTTTTATAAAATGGAATAAAGACAAGGCTTTTTAGACCAAAAGCTCTCATTGAACATGTGCTGAATAAATGGAAAAATTTAAAAAAATCACCTCTAAGCCCACTGAAGAAAATCAAAGATAAAAGAAATCTTATTAGCTTCCCCAAAGAAAATGCATAGATAACCTCCAAAGGAGAGAAAACCAGACTGATAACAGACTTCTTATCTGCAACATTAGATTCAATATCTGAAACCATACTTTTGAAGTGTAAAGAAAAAAACTGCATTGAAAACTTTGGATCCAGAATCCTATATATGTTTATTCATTTATATATGTACACACATGTATTTTTTTCCCCCTGTGAGGACATTTTATGTGTCAAGTCCTGTGCTGGGAAATAAATAGATTAATATGCCAAGGTCTTGCTACCAAGAGGGAACACAAGGATAAAGAAAAGTACAGAGACAGCTGTTATGGAAGGAAGAATGTGGTATATGCAATAAGTGAGATATAAACTAATGCTATGAGGTTCCCAAGGAAGGAGAGATTCTTTGTGGCTGGAAGTATCAGGGAAGACCTCACAAAGATTCCAAGCTTTGTGGAGTGGAGGGCTTGGTCAGGCTGTGATAATTAATTCATTATCTTTCCATCCAAACCTGCTCTACTACCCTCCTGTTACCCAGGCAACAAATACGGGCATCAGCTTCAAATCTTCCCTTTCCCTAAACTCCTGTATTAGTTGGGGTAGGCTAAGCTGGTGTGACAAATAGATCCAAACACAGGTGGAGTTAACAAAACAGAAATCTATTTCATGCTTGAAGGCAGTACTGCTAGGGTATTCAGTCATAAAGGAGGCTCTCTGTAATGCAGCCATTTGGAAACACGTGCTCCTTCAATATTACGCTCCATCATACCCCAGGGCAGTGTTTCCCAAACTGTGATCCAAAGACCAGCAGTATCAGTATCTCTTGGAAACTTATTAGAAATGCTCATATCTGGTCCCGCTGCAGACCCAGTGAATCAGAAACTCTAGGAGCACGGTCCAGGAATGTTGTGCAACAAACTTCCAGGTGATTCTGATGCTCACTAGGTTAAGGACCACAGCCTGAGGGCTTTGTCAAGTCTGCAACCAGCCGGCAGAAATGGAAAAAGGGCATGGAGGATGAAAACCTACTCTCTTAAAAGCCCTGGCCTGAAGGTAGCACACGTCACTCCCACTTATATTCCATCAGCGAGGACTTAGTCACGTGGCCTCATGTAACTGCAAGAGAGGCTGGGAAATGTAGAATAGCATGTACCCAGGCAGGGAAGGGGGAACAGCTGTAGGGGCGACAGCAGGCATTCTCCATCACATTTCCCAAGTCCAGTTGTTCTAATACTAATCTAGATTGATCTGTTCCTTCCCATCCTACTTGTGCCTCTGGTTCAGGCCACCCCCACCTCTCACAGACAACAACAGTGACTCTCAAGCTGATACCCTACCTCCAGACTCCACTCTGTCCTCTCTCATTCTACCCACTAAGTCTCGTTTTCATGAAGCTTGTGCTTCCTCAAAGTGCTGGGGCAAAGAACCCACTGCCTCACTCTAAAAGCCTTAAAGAGCTCTCTTTCTCCAAATCACTTCTCACACTGTTCCTTCTTCTTGGGCTAGCCTCTTTCCACCCTCTGCCTGATAAAATTCTACTCATCTCCTTTGATGTTTCCCTCACCCTCCAAGTTAGACTCTTCCTCCAGACCCTCACAGCATGGACTTAATTATATCCTAACTCTATTTAGGACTGTTTCCAGAATAGACTCAGAACTAAAGTGTTTGTTGTTATTGTTGTTTTTTTTTTGTGGGGGGCCAAATAAATAGGGTCAGATTGCTCCATTCAGGATGTCTTTTATCATTCACTCATTTACTCACGTATCTACCCATTTATCCAAAAAATATTTCTCAGGTGGCTTGGATGTGCTAAACACTTTCAGATAGGTGCAGATACAATGGTGAACAATAGAAGTGTGGTCCCTGCCCCCTGGGGGTTTATGTTTAGAGGTTAAGGTTCTTGATGAACAAACTGACAGTAACAATATAGTGTGAGGAGTGCTAGGTTGGAAGAAGGGTCAGAGTATTATGGGAGCATGAAGGAGAGGGGAGAAAAGGTATTTCAAGTAGAGGCAAGAGAGAGCATGTTACTTTCAGGAAACTTAAAAGTATATATCCTGGAGACTTTTGATTAATTCCTTCCCCAGAGTTTCCTCTCTGTGGAACTACACCTACTTAGAGAGGGATTGAGTGGATGCTTAAGAAACTGGAAGGACTTGCTGTCTTGTGTACTAGCCCATAAACTCAGTGGCCCTCTGTCAGGGACAGCTAAGGAAATTGGATTCTTCAAAGTATTGAAAAGTTGGGTTGTTGATAAATGGCATTAGATCAAGCTTTGATTTCACTTCAGGTACACAGCTAGTGAATCCTCTTCTGTGGAAATTTAGATGTGAGATCACCACATTTGTTTATATAGATGCGCCTCAAACTGTATTTTGTTTTCTGCTTTGAGGAGGAAGAATGTGATCAGGCTCCCACCTCCCTCCCATTTTCTTTCCATAGTGGGTTGTTGTAGTTCCCGCTTAGAAGGCTCAGAAAAAGTAAGTGTAGTGAAAAGAATGACTTTGTTCACTGAACATTAAAAGGAAAGAGAATTCAAGTACCGT